ATGAATTAACATCAACTTTCTTTGATGAGTGAATATGGGGGTGGAAAAAGAGCATTGATATCTGTCAAAATTTTTCACCTATTACTGGCAAATTTTTTGTTGTATAAATGTTATTTGTTAAAAACAGAAACAGCAGAAAAATGAAGTTTCTTCTATTAAATTAATATTACCAACAGTAACAGTGCCAACAGTAACAGCGCAGATACTGATTTGCAGAAAGCTCGTGACATCTATGGCGCAGAATCAGCGCAAATGACATTTGCAAAATCTTCGCTAAACGTCCTCTGGGAAGAATTACGTAAAACAGCAGATACCAATCATGATGATATCATTTCAATGAACGAATGGATTAATTTACTTCGACGAAGTGAATCAGATATACTACCAAAATGGTTACAGGATTACTGCGGATATATGTTTAAATTATTTGACGTTTCAGGTACCACTTTGCATTTTTTTTTTTAACAAAAAAATGTTGACCAATGTTTTAGCGTCTTAACAAAACATCTGTCAAAAGTGCTAAAGTTTTTTTTTTTTTTTTCAAATTAAAAAGAAAGATGTTTAAAAGACAAAAACAACAGCTCAGTTTTAGTGTTTTTTTTTTCTGAACTAAGTCAAAAAATCTGTACCTTTTTCTTTTTCTATTTTCACTTAGTTCCGCCAAAAGCATTTCTTAGTAAAGTTTAAAAAACCAGAAAAAATGCAATAAGTTTCCTGAATTTTGATGCCCAAATGGCCTGCTGTTGATACATTGTTTAGAAAATTCATCAACTTTTCAAATTCAATTTTTTTTTGCTTTCACTTCTTCGGTTAGCTACTTTAAATAGCCTTTTTTTTTTGCATCAATTCTTCAAGCTTTTTGGCTGATCTGTACATCTGATAAATTCTCGAAAATATTGTATGTTGCACTAGGAAATGAAATTTGATACGTGTGTGCAAAAAACAATTAAAAAAAAAAACAAGTTGTCAGCATTAAGCAAAAACCAGAAGAAGAGTTGAGAACAAGTAGTAAAAAACTTGAAAAAGCAGGATGAAGGTGTGTTTTGGATCAGTAATTGATAACTAAAGAATTTGACCTAAAAACAAATATCTACCACAAATTTGAAATCACTAATATAAATTAATCTTTTTTTTTTTGGTTGTACACTGTACTTTATCTTTGCACTGTTTTTCAGATATCTTTCTAAATTTAGCTAAACTTTTTTTACGAGTCTTTTTTACGAGTCAGTTTTGTACAATTGAAACAAATTTAATGATCTTTTTCGCTGTGCTGAACACTATGTCAGTTGACTGCTAAGCATCCTCCTAAAGATTGTTTACTTAGGATACTTGTTAGAATCTTTAAAATGTTTGTCAACTAAAAGGCTAACAAGTATTTTTTTTCCTTTTTCTTTGACACTATTTTAAGGAAAATATGAGAAAGAGAAAAGGAGGTTAAAACTATTGAAATATGATTTGGAGAAAACATGACTGAAAAAATGATTGGAAACGTGCCATATGTCTTTCCTTCTATTATTTCATATTCTTAACAACTTTTAATTATCAATCTTAACTCTGCTATAAAAGATTGATTTTTTAGCTGACGGTGTTATCGATATTGTTGAATATACAGATGGTATGAGTTCTTACGGTTACTCACCTTCATCTTCTCATGATGCATTCCAGCATTTACTCACGGTTAGTTTCCTTTGCTCAGATGGTTCTTTTACCAGTTCTCAAAACATCTTACTTCATCTTTTTAAAATATACTTTAAATTTTGGAAGTACAAGCACTGATTAAACTACACCATTCGGTGAGTGTTGGCTGATTGTCGGTAATTAGGTTTACCAAACAAAAATTTCATCAGATGTTATCGGATGCAGATGTCTGCTGCAGCAGCAAAAAGAAAAAAAAAGTGCTTTTTGGAACTCAGTTTTACCGCACTAAAATCATCAATAGAAGCTGAACGTTGTAATTCTGCCCAACCTTTTCCAATGTGTTAACTTAAAATCTTGATGTTTTTTTCAGGATGAAAAAGGCGAAAAGTCAGTACATTTGAGTCCACAGCAGTGGAATAAACTTTTCAGGGAGTATTTCTACGCCAAAGATAAGAACGCGAAAGGCAATCATTTGTTCGGAACACTTGAAGAATTGGACAAATTTTAAAACCCAAATTTTGAACTTTTTGCGTTTTTTTTCTGCATTTTCTTATTATTCTGTTTTACTTCTTTTTTTTTTTTTTTTTTTTTTTTTTTTTT